TATTGATGGGAAGGTAGACTGGTACAACCATGGCAGCAAACAAATTGGACTTACATACAAAGATGGACATGCCTGCATGTGTGCAGTCCAGGAATTTCATTTTTTCAGAAACTTATACATGAGCACCAGGAGATATATAAAATCTAGAAGAATGTGGTAGTAATTTATTTTTATTCTTATTTTTATTTATTTTTAATTTACATCCAAGTTAGCATATAGTGGAATAATGACTTTAGGAATAGATTCCAGTGATTCATCCCTTATGTATAACACCCAGTGCTCATCCCAACGAGTGTCTTCCTTAATGCCTCTTACCCATTTAGCCCACCCCCCTCTCACAGCCATGCCAGCAACCCTCAGTTTGTTCTCTGTATTTAAGAGTCTCTCATATTTTGTCTCTCTCCCTGTTTTTATATTATTTTTGCTTCCCTTCTCTTATGTTCATCTGTTTTGTATCTCAAAGTCCTCATATGAGTGAAGTCATATGATATTTATCTTTCTCTGACTGACTTATTTAGCTTAGCATAATACCCTCTGGATCCATCCATGTTGTTGCAAATGGCAAGATTTCATTCTTTTTGACTGCTGAGTAATACTCCATTGTATATATTATATTTATGTATATGTATATATATATACCCCATCTTCTTTATCCATTCATCTGTCGATGGACATTTGGGCTCTTTCCATACTTTGGCTATTGTTGATAGTGCTGCTATAAACATTGGGGTACGTGTGCCCCTTCAAAATAGCACACCAAAGGTTATATACCTAGTAGTGCAATTCCTGGGTCATAGGATAATTCTATTTTTAACTTTTTGAAGAACCTCCATACTGCTCTCCAGAGTAACTGCACCAGTTTGCATTCCTACCAGCAGTGCAAAAGAGATCCTCTTTCTCTGCATCCTCGCCAACATCTGCTGTGTTTTTTTTATTTAAAAAAGTTTTTTTAATGCTTATTTTTGAGACAGAGCATGAGTGACGGAGGCGCAGAGAGAGAGGAAGACACAGAATCCAAAGCAGGCTCCAGGCTCTAAACTGTCAGCACAGAGCCTGACACAGAGCTCGAACTCAAGAACCATGAGATCATTACCTGAGCCAAAGTTGGACACTTAACTGACTGAGTCACCCAGGTGCCCTGGTAGTAATCAAAAAAAAAAAAAAAAAAAGTAGCAAAACAACCTAGAAACCAAATATTCAGTGATAGAAAAGTAGTCATAAATGGAGTATCAAACAGTAGTGAATAAATGAATGGCCAAGGAGAACATGAGTGAATTTTTGCAACAAAATATTGAGTATAAAGAGCAAGGCACACAGGGTGCCTGGCTGGCTCAGTCACTAGAGCATCTGACTCTTGATCTCAGGGTTGTAAGTTGGGACCTCAAGTTGGGCATGGAGCCTACTTTAAAAAAATGCAAAGCACACACACACACACACACACACACACACACACACACACACACACACACAAAAGGCAAGGTATAGAAGACTAAAAATAGCATAATACCATTTCTCTAAAGCTCAGAAACCAGTAAAACAGAACAACATATTGTTTGGGGATACATAGCTACTTTAGGAACTCAAGCCATGCAGGAAAGGGCGGGATGGGCCAGCAAAGGGGTGAAAAAGTTAGTGGAACAGTGTTGCTAACGTTCTCTTAGGCCTGGTAGTGAGTTTCATTATTATGCCTCATAACTTCCTATGTGTTACAGGTATCAAATCACCTAAAGTTTTAAAGGCAAATTAGCAAAAATATTTCCTTTTTTATTCCAAAAAAATAAAATTTTAAAGTATGGTGCTTTAATCTGTGAAAGCCTTTCTTAGGAAAAAAAATTAATAAAGGTAAGTCTGATGGGGCGCCTGGGTGGCTTAGTTGGTTAAGCGTCAGACTTTCACTTGGATCATGATCTCGCGGTTCGTGGTTCGAGCCCCGCGTCGGGCTCTGTGCTGACTGCCAGCTCAGAGCCTGGAGCCTGTCTCAGTCTGTGACTTCCTCTCTTTCTGACCCTCCCCTGCTCACGCTGTCTCTCTCTCTCTCTCTCCTAGAAATAAATAAAACATTAAAAAAAATAATAAAGGTAAGTCTGAGAAGGGTTTATAAGGCGATGCGATTCATGTTTAATACTAAGGCTGGGTCGGGGCACCTGAGTGGCTCAGTCAGTTATATGCCCGACTTCGGCCCAGGTCATGACTTCATGGTTGGTGAATTTGAACCCCACATCAGGCTCTCTGCTGTCAGCACAGAGCCTGCTTTGGATCCTCTGTACCCCCTCTCTCTGCCCTTCCCCTGCTCACATTCTGTCTCTCTCAAAAATAAAATGTTAAAAACAAAAAACCAACAACTAAGGATGAGTTTCATTGAGGCTATCAATTCTCTCCCCAGGAAATATTTCATATGTGCAAAATTTTCATTTAATTCCAGGGAGTGATAATGAACGTGGTCTGGAAATAGGTTACTAAAGCTGTCTAATGCTATCAATTTTGATGAACTCATCTTACTGTAAGTAATTTGTAACTGATATTCCTGGTCAGAAGGAAAAATGTTTTTATCAAAGGTGCTACTTCATTCCTTAAAATTACTTTTAAGTAAACAGAAATGTTATAAAGCTAGATTAGAATAGGCAGATATAATTTTAGTTGTTTGGGTTCTGTGTGGTAGAGCATAGTAGAATTTAGGCAAATGGTTGTTAGGGCTCTCTTTCAGGTTTTAAGTTTTTAATTTGGCCAATTTACCAAGGCTCAAATTGAGGGGTGACCCACTTTTGGCTGGGTCAAAACAACCAGGGCATGGAGAAAAATAATCGTTTTTTTTTTCTTTGCAAGAAGACTTGTAAGGTTTCCCAAATGGCAAAATCTGCACCCCACATCTGATACATAGAAAAGCTACAACTTGAAATAAATGTATTTAAAAAATGTTAAGTTGCCAAATGCATCTTTGAATATTTAAGATCTCTCTCAGGTAATTCAGCTGAATGAGGAACATACCATGTCATTTGTTTACAGATAGTTGATAATGTGAAGAGCACTGTCATGTTTTCTTAATCTGGCGCTTGAGCTTGACAGCTGTTAACTAGTGAAAAGAGAGATGAAAGTCTGTGCAACTAAAAGCGTACACTGTATCCCCTCAAACAAAAGTGTGCTACCTTCTATATTAAGTATTAGCTAATTGGCAAGATGTATATTCCATGCTATTGAGAGAATTATATTTTCTTAATGAATACACTATATGTTGTTTTAAGTTCAAGAAAACATTGCAGTTTATAAGATAAAAAATTACTCTAGTAAGATGTAAGCTAATCAGTATGTTGGTCATACTACTACATAACTCATTAAACCATATTTCACAAAGTTGGTAGTTTATGTATTTTAAAACATATCTAATTTTGACTTGCAAATAAAGAATACTAAATTATCAACTTTACTTTCTTTTATTTCTTATCATAGGTGTTTATCTTTTTTTCACCCAGCATTATGTTTTTATATTTTGCCTATCATATCACTCTTCCTTCCCTTACATTGTGTTAAATGGGAAAATGTCTCAACTTGTAACTGTCCACTTATTTATTTTTTGTTTCCAGATGATCACTTATTAGGGCACTAATGATACTGTTTTTGTAACTATTAGTGGTGTGTATACTATTTTTAATTAACTCTGGAAGGAATATGGTGGTTAAGAATATAGAGGATAAGATTGTGGTCCCTGGAGCCAGACTGACTGGTGATCTACACTCAGCAAGTTACTGAGTATGACTTTGGCAAGTTACTTGATTTTTCTCTGCTCTAGTTTCCTGATTTTTAGTAAAAGGAGTAAGATAGCCCTGCTCTGGTACCTAGTAAAAGCTAAATGAATGTTAGCTATAATAATGGCAATATTAAGAATTATTATCATTGAGTTAATTCATTTCTCTTGTGAACTCAACATACCAGCACTTGTGTATGCTTAATCTATTCATGTGCATTGTAGAACAGGTTGGCTGTAACCCTCCATCCAGGATCAGAATGTACACCTACATGATAATCTAATTCCTTTAGAAAATAATAATTGCATCTGTTATATATTATTAGTAAACTTTCCAAGGCCAAATATCAATTCAATGACAAAATAATTCACTTCAGTATACATTTGAGTGCCTAGCATATGCAAAGCAATACAGGTCATATACAAATCTATGAAATACAGTTCCCATACTCAAGTGTCATCAATTTAACAGGAGGATTAGGAATAGAAATCTGCTTTTTCAGGTCCCCAGCTAGGTGAAAGTTGTACCAGAAGAAGCAAGTTCAGACTGGGTTAATAATGGAAACAGAACGAACTGGAAAGCCAGTTTCAACACCTTGAGGAGCCAAGTGGAAATAAATCGAACCACATGCATACCTTATGGTGGTTATTGTTTTCATATCCACAGATCTCTAGGTTTGCAGTTTTACTGTATTTATTCTCTAGGCTGGTGCTACAGCATTTACAAGTGTATTACTGGTTAAAAATTCAGTATGTAATATACAAAGAGAAGTGTTTACTATTGTTTCTATAAGGCAGGCATAAAAAAAAAGTATGACCACTGTTAGCATAGAGGTGGGAGAGGTCATGTCCTGTGGGAAAGAATTGGAGAAAACTTCATGAAAGAATATTTGAGGTGGGATTTCAAAGGATATGTGTGATTTCAGAAGTTTAGAAGTATTGGTATCTTTGTCCCATGCAAGGTCAAGGTATCAGCATGAGCAGAGATTCAGAATGAGGGCTGTGCATGGCATCCTCAGCAGACAGAGCCCCTAGAGCAGAAACAGGATCTGTGTGCAGATTCTGTACTGGGAGATATGGTTGGAGAGGCAGGTTGATGTCCTATTTGGTGGGCCTGGAATGCCTTTAATTAAATAATGGAGATCCATGGGAGGTTTTGTACATGGTGGATGGTGGTGGTAGTAACGATTGGCTAATACAGCTGCATTATCCACTAACTGCATTTGCGTGTTTATTTGAATTCATGTTTTGTCTCTTTCAGGAAGTTCATGATTTATTACAAGACTATGAGTTAAAGTATTGTTATGTGGACAGAAATAAGCGAACAGGTAAGATTTCGGTTTTAAGCATCTGGTTTCATTTTGATTCTAAATGTGGGCATTATTAAACAAAAAAGCTTAGTGTCTTTATTTTTAAGATAATCTATGAAATTCTTAAGCATCAAATCATATAAACGTTACTCATGAGATGTATTTTCTGAAGATAGTGTTAGTATCCTAAATTATCATCACATAGTATGTATCTTACTAGAGCCATTCGTTTTTATGAAGAATGTCCTAATATGTTGTGGTGTTTTAGTAAATTTTTATTTTTTTAACATACATTTATTTTTGAGACAGAGAGCCCGAGTTGGGGAGGGGCAGAGAGAGAGGGAGACACAGAATCTGAAACAGGCTCCAGGCTGTCAGCACAGAGCCCAATGCAGGGCTCAAACCCATGGACCGCGAGATCATGACCTGAGCCAAAGTTGGACACTTAACTGACTGAGCCACCCAGGCGTGCCTGTTTTAGTAAATTTTTATAGGCTTTGTATTATTTATTTTTTAACTGAATATAATTAACATACAATGTTATATTAGTTTCAGGTGTACAACATATTTTTTTTTTAGGTGTACAGCATATTGATTCCACAATTACTCATTGCTTACCACAGTAAGTGTAGTCACCATCTGTAATCATACAACATGATTACGGTATTATGGACTGCATTCCCTATGCTGCCCTTTTCATCTCCATTACTTATTTCATAGCTGGCAGTTTGTACCTCTTAATTCACTTTATATATTTCATTCACCACTTCCCCATGTCTCCTCAGGCAACCACCATTTTGTTCTCTGTATTAAATTCTATGCCCAACAGGGGGCTCAATCTCATGACCCTGATATCAAGTTGCATGCTCTGCCACCAGAGCCATTCAGGTGCCCCTTATTCATTTGTTTTTGTTTACTCATTTGTTTTGGTTTTTTAGATTCTACATATTAGTGAAATCATATGGTATTTGTCTTCCTGTCTCTGATTTATTTCACTTAGCAATATACTCTCTAGGTCTGTTCATGTGGTTGCAAATTGCAAGATCTAATTCTTTTTTTATGGCTGAGTAATATTCTGTGCGCACACACATGTATACACACACACACATTCATCTATTAATGGACGTTTGGATTACTTCCATATCTTTGTTGTAAATACTGCAGCAAACATGTATCTTTTCAAATTAATATTTTCATTTTCTTTGGGTTAATATCCAGTGGTGGAATTACTGGATCATATGGTATTTCTATTTTCAGTGTTTTAAGGAACCTCCATACTGTTATCCACAGTCACTGCACTAATTTACATTCCTACCAACAGTGCACAAGGGCTCCCAATCCTCCTCATCCTCACCAACACTTTTATTTCTTGTCTTTCTGATACTAGCTATTCTGCCTGGTGTGAGGTAATATCTTATGATTTTGATTTGCATTTCTCTGCTGATAAGTGATGTTGAGCATCTTTTCATGTATCTGTTGGCCATCTGTATGTTTTTTTGCCCATTTAAAAAAAAATGCTTATTTATTTTGAGGGTGAGACTAGGAGAGGGGCCGAGAGCGAGAATGCCAAGCAACTCCATGTTGTCAGCGCAGAGCCTGCCACAGGGCTTGATTCACAAACTGTGAGACCGTGACCTGAAATGAAATCAAGAGTCAAGTGCTTAACCAACTGAGCCACCCAGGCACCCCTCTGCCCATTTTTTAATCACATTGTTTTTTGGTGTTGATTTGTATAAGTTTATATGTTTTGGATATCAGTCCTTTATCAAATACATCACTTGCAAATATTTTCTTCCAGTCGTTAGGTTGTCTTTTTGTTCTGTTAATGATTTCCTTTGCTGGGCAAATTAGTGTAGTCTCAGTAGTTTACTTTTGCTTTTGTTTCCTTTGCGTAAGGAAACCTGTCTATAAATATGTTGCTAAGGGTGATGTCCAAGAGATCACTGCCTTTTTTTTTTTTTTTTTTTTTTAACAACTATTAGGAGTTTTATGGTTTCAGGTCTCACATTTAAGTCTTTAGTTCATTGTGAGTTTATTTTGTGTATAGTGTAAGAAGATGCAGTTTCATTCTTTTGCATATGGCTGTCCAATTTTCCTAGCACCATTTACTGAAAAGACTGTCTTCCCCCTTGTGTATTCTTGCCTACTTTGTTACAGATTAATTGACCATATAGGTATGGGTTTATTTGGGGGCTCTCTGTTTCATTGATCTATGTGTCTGTTTTTGTGCCAGTACCATACTGTTTTGATTACTACAACTTTGTAGTAGATTTTGAAACCTAGGATTGTGATACTTCCAGCTTTGGTCTTCTTTCTCAAGATTGCTTTGGCTTCTTGAGGTTCTTTGTGGTTCCATATAAATTTTTGTATTATTTGTTCTAGTTCTGTGAAAAATGTTGCTGGTATTTTGTTAGAGATTGCATTAAATCTGTAGATTGCTTTGGGTAGTGTGGACATTTTGACAATATTGGCTCTTCCAATCCGGGAGCATGGAGTATCTTCCCCTTTGTGTTATCTTCAATTTATGTCATCAATGTCCAGGTCTTTTTACCTCCTTGGTTAAATTTATTCCTAGGCATTTTATTCTTTTTAGTATAATTATAAATGAGATTGTTTTCTTACTTTTTTTGCTATTTAATTATTAGTGTACAGAAAGGCAACTGTTTTTTATGTATTAATTGTATATCCTGCAGCTTTACTGCATTCATTTATTCTAGTAGTTTTTGGTCGAATCTTTATGATTTTCTATGGTATCATGCCATCTATAAGTAGTGACAATTTAACTTCTTCCTTACCAATTTGGATGACCTTTATTTCTTGTTTTATTTCTGTAGCTGGGTCTTCTAGTACTATGTTAAATATGAGAATCAAGAGTGGACATTCTTGTCTTGTTTCTGATCTTAGATAAAAAGCTTTCAGCTTTTTACTATTGAGTATGATATTAGCCGTGGGTTTTTCATGAATGACCTTTATTTAGGTTAACGTATGTCCCCCCTAAGCACACTTTGTTGAGAGAGCTTATCATCAATTCATGTTGAATTTTGTCAAACGCCTTTTCTGCATCTATTGAGATGATTGTATGACTTTTATCCTTTGTTAAGTTAATGTGGTTTATCATGTTGATTGATCTGTGAATATTGAACCTCCTTGTCTCCTGGGAAGAAATCCATTTTGATCTGGATGAATGATCCTTTCAGTGTATTGCCGAATGCAGCTTGCTAAAACTTTGTTGAGGATTTTTGCATTTATGTACATCAGGAATATTTGTGATTTTCTTTTTTTGTAGTGTTTCTGGGTTTTTGTTGTTGTTGTGTTTTTTAATCAGAGTAATACTGGCCTCATAGAATGTATTTGAAAGTTTTCCTTCCTCTTCTATTTTTCTGAATAGTTTCAGGAGAATCAGTATTCTTACTTAAATGAAAGGTAGAATTCACTTGTGAGACAGTCCGATCCTGGACTTCTCTTTGTCAGAAGTTTTTCATTACCAAATCAATTTTGTTACTAGTAATTGGTCTGTTCAGATTTTCTATTTCTTCCTGATTAAGTTTTGGAAGATGGTATGTTTCTAGAAATTTATCCATTTCTTCTAGATTGTCCAGCCTGTTGCCATATAACTTTGTGAAGTATTCCCTTACAATCTTTGGTATTTCAGTGGTGTCAGTTGTTAATTCCCCTTTTATCTCTGATTTTATTTGTATCCTCTCTTTTTTTCTTGATGAGTCTGGCTAAAGGTTTATCAATTTTGATGCTCTTTTATCTCTTGGTTTCACTGATCTTTTCTATTGTCTTTTTTAGTCTCTAATTTATTTTGGCTCTGATCTTAATATTTTCTTCTTTTCCTGGCTTTGGGCTTTGTTTGTTCTTCCTTTTCTAATACCTCTAGGTATTAGGTTAGACTGAGATTTTTCTTGTTTCTTGAGGTGGGCCTGTATCTCTATAAATTTTACTCTTAGAACTGCTTTTGTTGTGTCCCAAAGATTTTGGAACATTGTGTTTTTATTTTCATTTGTCTTCATGTATTTTTTAATTTCCTCTTTGATTTCTTCATTGACCCACTGGCTATTTAGTAGCATGTTATTTAGCTTCCACCTTTGTGTTTTTTTCCAGTTTTTTTTCTTGTGATTGATTTATAGTTTTATACTATAATCATCAGAAAAGATACAGGATTTAAGTTTTATTAAATTTATTGAAACTTTTTTGTAGCCTATCATATGGTTTATCCTGGATAATATTCCTTGTGAACTTGAAAAGAATGTTATTCTGTTGATTTTTGATGTAATATTCTGTTTATATCTATTAAATCCATCTGTCCTAGTATGTCATTCAAAGACACTGTTTGATTGTTGATTTTCTGCCTGGATGATCTATTTATCGATGTAAGTGGGCTATTAAAGTCCCCTACTTTTATTGTATTACTGTCAATTTCTTGCTTTCTGTCTGTTAATATTTACTTTATGTATTTAAGTGCTTCAATATGAAAGACAGGTTTTAAGACTTTATGAAATTATATTACACATAGTTGGAAAAATTTAAATTTGTATGTAGTTTGGAAATACTATAAAACTAAAAAACAAAACAACGTTGTAGTATCTTACAGTGGAACTCCTGATGTAATTCCTATGCTTTGATTTGAGTCACTGGTCATGAAATTAGATTACTGGGTGTATCATTCTTAAAAAACACAATGAAATAGAATAGAAAATATCAGAGTGCATTACATGTGACAGGAGTTTTAGTTCCTAATACTTTTGTTTCAGAAACATGTGAAGTGTGTGTGTGTGTGTGTGTGTGTGTGTGTGTGTGTGTGTACTGAGTCACCAAAAATATATTCCTTACTGTAGGTCATAGTCAAAAAAGTTTGAAAACACTGGCTTAGACAAAACTTTAATTCATTTTGTTATCTTCTAGCTTTTGTTACCTTACTGAATGGGGAACAAGCCCAGAATGCAATTCAGATGTTTCATCAATATTCTTTTCGAGGAAAGGACTTAATTGTTCAGCTCCAGCCAACAGATGCTTTGCTGTGTATTACCAACTTACCCACTTCTTTCACATTAGAAGAGTTTGAAGAACTTGTTCGTGCTTATGGAAATATCGAGAGATGTTTTCTAGTCTACAGTGAGGTTACTGGCCATTCCAAAGGCTATGGATTTGTGGAATACATGAAAAAGGACTTTGCCGCAAAGGCTAGATTGGAGTTATTGGGTAAACAATTGGGAGCATCAGCTCTGTTTGCACAATGGATGGATGTTAATCTGTTGGCCGAAGAGCTAATTCATTCTAAGTGCCTTTGTATAGATAAACTCCCTAGTGACTACAGGGATTCAGAAGAACTGTTGCAATTTTTTTCCAGTATACATAAACCTGTGTTTTGCCAGGTATGTATTTTTCAGGTATCATTTGAAATATTTGAAAATATCTGCCTAAGTATCTATTCTATATGCACTCACAAGTTTATTATGCCTATGTGAATATCACCATGGATAATCTAATTCTTCTTTAGTCTGTAATGAAGACTTTAAGTTCATGGTAAATTTTAAATCAATTCCTATTGTGTGTGGGTCAACCTATATTATTATATAGTTAAGTATGTCTTAGCAAACCCGTCACTTCCTCATTCCTCATTCCTCATTCCATCCATTTGCCTAGCCTTTCATTCACTGATCCATTCATCCATCGAGTTTTACTTATTCTTTTGTGCCAGACACTATATTGCTAAAAGTTAGAAATATAGAGAATAAAAACGTACTCTCTCAATACCTAAGAATCTTGCACAAGGTACTGACAACCAAATAATGATAAATTCTGTCTAAAAAGTGATGTAATTAATGGAAGACAGAAGAGTATTATGAGGTTTACAAAGAATGTATAGTTCTGTCTTAATGTTATCATGGTGAGACATTTAGAGAAGATCTTAAAAACTAACAACACTGGTAAGAATTTTCATGCCCTTTGTCAGTAAAATTAAATATATTCTTCTAAATAGACACAGACATATACTATAAGATCCTTCCCCTATAGGTGTTTGATAGCAATTGACCAACTCTTCTTTCTTGCTTCTCTTAATTTATTCCTTCTCTCACTTCTTCTCTCTCATGCTTCTTTTCTTCTTAACCTCTGCTCCCTACCCCCAACACCCCACAGCTTTCTTTAATCATGTAATTGTTGAGTCTCTCCTATTACAGTAGAAAGTTTGGAGTTATTCTCACACACACACACACACACACACACACACAACCATAGTATATTTAAATAATATATATTCTATATAGCTAATATGTAACTATAATATATAACTATAATATATATGTAAGTATATATATATATAAATGCCTACTATCTTTTTCATACATTTCTACCTCTCCAATCCCAATATAAACATCAAAGAAACCATCCAAGAGCTTCATACAATTAGAAAGTTCTGTGACAAATCTTTTATCAAATCTTTACCCAGTTATTGAAAAATGATTCTCTAATCCATATGGTATTTTTGAATACTAAAAATTGTATAGTGATATTCTGAGGTCATACATAATTCTTTGTAGCTATAGTTGAAGGCTTCAAGGCAAATGTGAGGGGGAAAGCCATTTATCACAAATTGTATTTGAATTATGAATCCCAGAATTGGAAGGTACATGAAAGGTTCTCTAATCCAGCTGGTCATTGGTAGAAACATGTTTGTGAGTGGCCATTTAGCTTCTGTTAAAATATTTAAAAACAATGGAAAATTAACTAGATCAGAAGTCAGACTAATACATATTTGAATGACTCTCCTATTGAACTGAAAAAAAACTTTGAAACTACTGATGCTGTGGACTTAGATGATTTTGTCTTTTGAAAGAATTAAAATGGTATTATAATTTATATAGGCATGAAAGTTACCATAATGACCCAGGAATAATAAGTATTTGAAAAGATTTTTAAAAAGATTAATACAATTACTTTATGATACCTTTATCAGTGGATCTGTGAAATTTAGGCTCTTTTGCTTGGCAGGTGGACATGGACTGTATTGAATATAGTCTCTTACCTTGTAATCAAGGGACACCAAAGAGACCGATGGCTTTAAAAATCTGATTTTTATATGTGGTTTGGATTACAAGAAGAATGGTGTAGGAGAAAGGTTTAGAAGAGGTAGATGTTTTCCCTTTCTCCCAGGTGATTGGAAAAGTTTCATGGAAGAAAAGTTTCATGAGGAAAGTTCTAAAAGGAAGGAAGAATGTGAAGGAAGAATAGAAATTTGGTCTAACTGTATAGTTAGAAAGTAAAACTTCAAAAATAAGAGAAAAGAAACTAAAAAGGACTAAGAAATGATTTAATTGTAATATGAACTTATGAGATGCCAAATCCAAACAAATGTTTAGTTGTGTCTTCTCAAAGACATACCATGCTGAATTTGATCACATTTACCACTTTATAGAGTGAATGTGTGTAAGATAATTCAGACATATTCAAAACTTAGAAACTTTTTAGTGTCTTATTTTGTTCTTATCTTTGCTCTTTGTACTAGTCTTTACAGATCCAGGACTTTAGTATCTTCCTTTACACTCTTACAGGTGGGTGACTGGAAATAAATCGAGTTCTGCATTGCAGGAGTTTATTTAGGGCACATTCAGAAATAAAGCTTGTGTGATGCGTATGGTATTTTAACAAATCCAGGGCACAATTTTATGACATAAGGTTTGCTTTGGAATACTTGACCAAATTCCTCAGATCTGCCTGAAATATTGAATTAAAAGTTTAATATGGTTCCTCCTACCTTTCTTCTCTTGATAATATAAAGTCTAATTTACATAGATGTGTGGTCAAATAATTGTTCAGTATCTTTCATTGTCCATGTATCTGGTAAATTTATTTTAAAGAAAGTTTTATTTTTCGTGTCTCTACATTTTTTGATAAATTATCAGTTATACATCTTTCTTAATATAGAGGGAATATTATCATTTGAGCTTTGACTCTTAAGGTAAATTAGAAAATCAAAGGATTGAAAAGAAATTTGACAGAATCTTGTTTATCATCCTATCTTCAGGACTGCATCTAAGTAACTAGTGAATATTTGTTATTTATATATTTATTAAAGTAATCTGTGCATCCAACATGGGGTTCAAATGTATGACCCCAAGATCAAGGATCGCATGCTCTTCCAGCTGAGTCAGCCAGGCATCCCACAATAGGAAACCTTTAATGTTAGATAGAAAGAATACATTATTTTCACCAGTATCATGCTCTGATACATTTGTATTTTAATTTGAAAATTATATACTGAAAATAAATATTTCTAACTAAATATTAGGATTCTCCTTTTAACAAACTGTGTTAAATCAGCTTGCACAGGATGAAGGCAGTTACGTTGGTGGCTTTGCAGTGGTGGAATATAATACTGCAGAGCATGCTGAAGAGGTTCAGCAAGCCACTGATGGTATGACCATCAAGGGAAGCAAAGTCCAAGTTTCCTTCTGTGCCCCGGGAGCACCTGGGCGAAGTACATTAGCGGCATTGATAGCAGCTCAACGTGTGGTAAGTTTAATGTTCTTTATGAGGATAAAGAAGAATGCTAATACTTTTTTAATCTATCCAAACCAGTTGACCATTCATTGGACTTTCATTATATTTCCATTACACAAAGATGGGGTAAGGAGGGAAAGATAGGAGGTTGCTCCTGGTCTCCCATCTCTTGCCCTCCCCTTCCTGTTCTTTAACCTCCTCTGGTCCTGGATCCCTTCTCCCTTCGTCTGTAGTTTGCCTTTCCTTCTTAGGCTCTCCTGTCGTTTTCCTGTCCCAGTTTGCCTAAGTCAAGGCCTCAGCTGTCCTTTGACTGTCAGTGTCATCATGCCTCTGATTAAATGGTCTGTGTTGGATCAGAGGTGCCGAGTTTACAATTCTGAATTCATCCAGTCACCTACTTCTGCGGCCAGGGCACCTGTGTCCTTTTGAAGAAAAACAAACACCTTGGTAGTTTGGTGCTACTAGATAAGTGTGTCCTGCGTTTATGGCTGGTCTCCAGAAAAACTTTAGCTTCACATCTCTCATCAGCCTCTCTTCTCCATTTTCTACAGCAACTACCTGAAACCTTAAGCTCTGTTGCTGCCTTAGCCCTTTCTATCAGATGGTCATGGCTCCTACTTTCTAGAAATACAAAGGTCGTGTGCTGGTCATTCATTCAACTCTTCTCATACTGCCCCAGCAAATGTGTCCCCAGTTTTCACTTCCGTTTCTCTTCAGTAGCATTCATTCCACAAGTACCTACCAGGCACCCACTCCACGCTAGGAAATGCCAGAGATATTTCTGATTCATCTGTGGACAAATATCCCTGCTCTCTTGGAGGAAGAGCTGTGCCTCCTCCTGCCAACACAGGGGCTCATGACCATGTCTCCCGTCTTCAAGGGTCTTGATTCTTACCCTTCTACAGTTTTTCACTGCTTGCTCCACTAGCTCCATCCCATCTTCTTGTAAACATGCTCAGATCCTTTCCTTTAAAATTTCTCTCTAGAAACTGGCTTTTGTATTGTTCTTCCTTCACAACTGGAGCCTCTTGAACAATTAGCCCCTACTTGCTGTCATTTCCCATTTCTTCATTTCCCATTCTGTCTCAGCCTGATACTATGGTTTCTACCTCAGCTATTCAAGTGAATCTGTTCCCATTAAGGTTAATAGATATTTCTTAGTATTCAAATTGAATAGGCACTATTCAGCGTCTTATTGCTTAGTCTCTTTAAAAGTCTCCACCATCTTGAATTCTACCCCACCATTATTTTTCTTCCTAACCATTCCTTCCCTTTCTTCTTTTTCCCCGATGGCTGCTATCATTAGACTTCATATTCGGCTTTCTCACTTCTTTGTGTATATTCCAATGGCCCCGATTATTGCCTATCGGTAATGACTTATAAGCATACATTTTTGAACCAACTTTCCCTCAGCACTAAATATGTATTTCCAAATGATTATTAACAGTCTACCTTCATGTTATATAAATAGTTCAATTTTAAGATTTCCAAAACAAAACTCTTTTCTCTGAAACTTGTTTTTCTGTGTTCTATAATGTGGGATTGGATTTGCGGAGGTTACAACTCTGAATACATCCAGTCACCCACTTGCACCAGGAGAACACACCTCTAGGTGGCTTGATGCCACTACAAATATGTGACATACATGTACAATTCTGTGTTCTGTATGTGGCACCATTTCACCCAAACTAAAATTATCTGAACAAAGAACTCAGTTAATCATGATTGGTTTCCCTCATCTGTTGCTCAAATCTAAATGTCAAAAATATTAGCAAATCCTTTCAGTTGCATGCTCCAACATTTCTTAAATCCTTGAGACTTGTCAACATCTTTGTTACTGTACTCAGGATCTCATCTTTTCTCACCTTGGTGATGAGAATAACCCTCTGTGTGGTCACCACTGTAATCCATCTTCCACCAGGTCTCAGGAGTGATCTTTTCCATCCTCAGATCAGATTGTGTCATCCTCTTATTTAATATTCTTTAATGTCTGGGGGCGCCTGGGTGGCTTAGTTGGTTAAACGTCCGACTTTCGCTTAGGTCATGATCTCGTGGTTCATGGGTTTGAGCCCCGCGTCGGGCTCTGTGCTGACTGCCAGCTCAGAGCCTGGAGCCAATTTCAGAGTCTGTATCTCCCTCTCTCTTTGACCCTCCCCTGCTCACGCTGTCTCTCTCTCTCTCCTAGAAATAAGTAAAAAATATTTAAAAAAAATATTCTTTAATGTCTGAAGTTCAGATTCCTTTGCATGGCATGCAGGGCCCTTCATGATTGGATATCAGTTATAATGAGAAACCGTAAACGTTTCTTGATCTTAAAAGTAATGCATTTGCATTGATGCTTTCTACAGGTTCCTGGTACATATACTTTATCAAATTTCCTGAGATTTAAAAAAAGTCACAGGGCGCCTGGGTGGATCAGTTGGTTAAGCATCTGACTTCACCTCAGGTCATGATCTTGTGGTTCATGAGCTTGAGTCCTGAGTCAGGCTCTGTGCTGACAGCTCAGAGCCTGCAGCCTGCTTCAGATTTTGTTTCTCCCTCTCTCTCTGCCCCTCCCCCACTCATTCTCGTTCTCTCTCTCAAATAAATAAATGTTAAAAAATTATTTAAATAAAAATTAAAAAGAATCATAAATAGGTACTAAAATTTATCAGAGTATTTCTGTAACTATTGAGATAATCCTATGATTTCTCCCTAAATTCTTTAATGTGCTGAATCACACTGATTTTCTAATGTTAAACCATCCTCGAGATGTTATATAAATAGTTCAATTCAATAAAAAACATTAAAAAAATGTAAACCATCCTTGTGTTATAAACTCTAATTGATAATATTTTTGCCAATACATTGTTTGATTTGATTGGATAATATTTTATTGTGCATGTGTGCTCACAAGTGACAATGCTTAAAATTTTTTGTGCCATTTATTTTTTTAATGGTTTTTATTTATTTCGTGAGCAGGGAGGGTCAAAGAGAGAGGGAGACACAGAATCTGAAGCAGGCTCCAGGCTCTGAGCTGTCAGCACAGAGCCCAACACAGGGCTAGAACCCACCAACCGGGAGATCATGACTCGAGCCAAAGTCAGACACTTGACTGACAGAGCCACCCAGGTACCCCCTGTTGTTTATTTCTGAATTAAGGGAATACTGACCTCATTAACTGATTTAAACAGTTTTTGCTCCTGCTCCCCTTTTTTTGCTCTTTCATAGATCAACTCATATAAAATTAGGGCTTGCCTGTTTGAAAATTTGAGAAATCTTGTCTGTAAAATCATATAGACCTACTCCTGGAAACTCATACAGAGGAAGATCGTTGGTTACCACTAAAGTTCCTTCTACGGATGTTTAGATATTTTGGTTTTATTTTTGTCTCTATGCCATATGTGGCATTTGATTATATTCCACAGAGTCATCCATTTCGGCTAATTTTTCAAAATTATTGGCACATAGTCATTTATAATATTATTTTTAAAATTTGTTTTCTCTGCTGTTCTCATTTTTTAAAAATTTATTAGAGAGAGAGAGAGAGAGAGAGAGAGAGAGAGAGAGAGAATCCCAAGCAGGTTCTACACTGTCAGCACAGGGCCCAGTGCAGGGCTTGGTTTCATGAACAGTGAGATCATGACCTGAACCAAAATCAAGAGTCAGACACTTAACCGACTGAGCCACTTAGGTGCTCCTACTGTTCTCATTTTCATTGTCTATTTTATCTATTTACATATATAACTTTTTTCTCTTTGATCAGTGTTGCATAAGATTTCCATGTTTTATCTTTTTAGAGAAACAGCTTTTCTTGTGTTTGTTACTTCTATCTTTCGCTTATTTCTGCCCTTTTTAAATTTTAATTCCAGTAAAGGTAACATAATGCTTTATTAGTGTCAGGTGTGCAGTATAGTGATTCAGTAATTTTGTACATTACTTAGTGCTCATCATGATAAGTGTACTCTTAATCCCCTTCACCTACTTCGCCGAATCCCCACCCCACCCCCCACCCCCACCCCGCCCCGCCCCACCTTCCCCTCTGGGAACCATCTGTTCTCTATAGTTAAGAGTCTGTTTCTTAGTTTTCTTTTTCTCTTTGTTTTGTATCTTAAATTCCACATTTGAATGAAATTATTAGGTATTCGTCTTTCTCTGATTTATTTCACTTAGCTTTAGATCCACCCACGTGGTTGCAAATGGCAAGATTTCAGTCTTTTTTTGGCTGAGTACTGTTCCTTTATGTGTGTGTGTGTGTGTGTATCATCTCTTCTGTATCCATTAATCTATCAATGGACACTTAGACTACTTCCATATCCTGGCTGTTGTTAAATTATGCTGCAATAAACATAGGAGTGCATGTATCTTTTTAAATTAGTGTTTTTATATTCTTTGAGTAAATATCCAGTAGAGAAATTACTGGATCATATGGTAATACTGTTTTTAATTTTTTTGAGGAACCTATGTACTGTTTTCCACAGTGTCTGCCCTTATCTTTATAATATCCTTGTTTTTTTCTTTTTCAGGCTTACTCTTTCTCCTCTGTCTTTATTGCTATCAGTACTTAGCACCTTTATTTTCAATCTTGGTTGTTTTCTGATGAATCTATTTAAAGCAAGTTTCTTTTTAACTAATGCTATGTGTCACTAATTTCATTTTGGCTTTTTTGAGTTTTTATTTATTTATTTTTTAAATATTTTTTATTTATTTCTAGTAGAGAGAGAGAGAGACAGCGTGAGCAGGGGAGGGTCAGAAAGAGAGGGAGATACAGACTCCGAAATAGGCTCCAGGCTCTGAGCTGGCAGTCAGCACAGAGCCCGACACGGGGCTCGAACCCACGAACCGCGAGATCATGACCTAAGCAAAAGTCGGACGCTTAACCGACTAAGCCACCCAGGCACTCCTTTAAGTTTTTATTTTTATTTTAGTTAATAGACAGTGTTATTTTAGTTTCAGGAATACAATATAGTGATTCAACAATTCTAAACAATGTCATAAATTTCAGATTATAAATGTTTAAAATTATTTTATGATTTCCTTTTATACTCAAAGCTTGATTTTTGTTTTTCACTTTATGTTCACTTAAAAATTTTCAAAAACTGGGATGCCTGGGTGGCTCAGTTGGTTAAGCATCCGACTTCAGCTCAGGTCATGATCTCACGGTTCACGGGTTCGAGCCCCGCGTCGGGTTCTGTGCCGACAGCTAGCGCAGAGCCTGGAGCCTGTTTCGGATTCTGTGTCTCCCTCTTTCTCTGACCTTCCCCTACTCACGTTGTCTGTCTGTCTGTCTGTCTCTCTCTCTCATTCTCTCTCTCTCTCTCTTTCAGAAATAAACATTAAAAAAAATTTCTAAAACTATTCTGACATTTCCCTGATGATGAGTGATGTTGAACATTTTTTCATGTATCGATTGGTCATCTGGATGTCTTCTTTGGAGAAGTGTCTATTCATGTCTTTTGCCCATTTCTTCACTGGATTATTTGTTTCTTGGATATTGAGTTTGATAAGTACTTTGTAGATTTTGGATACTACCCTTTATCTGATATGTCATCTGCAAGTATCTTCTATTCCATCAGTTGTCTTTTATTTTTGCTGATTGTTTCCTTCACCCTGAAGAAGCTTTTTATTTTGATGAGATCCCAATAGTTCACTTTTGGTTTAGTTTCCCTTGCCTCCAGAGATGTGTTGAATAAGAAGTTGCTGTGGCTGAGGTCAAAAGGTTTTTGCCTGCTTTCTCCTCTAGGATTTTGATGGCTTCCTGTCTTACACTTAGGTCTTTCATCCATTCTGAGTTTACTTTTGTGTATGGTGTAAGAAAGTGGTCCACGTTCATTTTTTTTTTTGCATGTCGCTGTCCAGTTTTCCCAGTACCACTTGCTGAAGAGACTATTCCATTGGATATTCTTTCCTGCTTTGTCAAAGATTAGTTGCCCATACATTTGTGGGTCCATTTCTGGGTTCTCTATTCTGTTCCATTGATCTGAGTGTCTGTTTTTGTGCCAGTACTGTACTGTCTTGATTATAGCTTTGTGATACAGCTTGAAGTATGGGATTGTGATACCTCCAGCTTTGGTTTTCTTTTTCAAGATTTTCAAGATTGCTTTGGCTTTTCGGGGTCCTTGTGTTTCCATACAAATTTTAGGATTGTTTTTTCTAGCTCTGTGAAGAATGCTGGTGTTATTTTGATAGGGATTGCATTGAATATGTAGATTGCTTTGGGTAGTGTTGACATTTTAACAATATTTGTTTTTCCTATCCAGGAGTATGGAATATTTTTCTATTTTTTGGGGTCTTCAATTTCTTTCATTAGTTTTCAGTGTATAGGTTTTTCACCTCTTTAGTTAGATTTATTCCTAGGTATCTTCTGGTTTTTGGTGCAATTGTAAATGGGATCAACTCCTTGATTTCTCTGTTACTTCATTATCGGTGTATAGGAATGCCACCAATTTCTGTGCAATGGTTTTATATCCTGCAACTTTGCTGTGTTCATGGATCAGTTCTAGCAGTTTCTTGGTGGAATGTTTTGGGGTTTCTGTATAGAGTACCATGTCATCTGTGAAGCGTGAAAGTTTGACCTCTGCCTGGCCAAGATGATGCCTTTTATTCCTTTGTGTTGTCTGATTTCTGAGGCTAAGACTTCCAGTACTATGTCGAATAACAGTAGTGAGCCACTTAACTCATTCTTATCTCCATCCTACTTCCTTCCTCCTGTCCCACCTACCACCATATTGTTATCTATATATTTATTTTAGGATTGCCTTAAATATTTCCCCCGATGGTAGTAGGTTTTGTATGCAAGATTGAAATTAACTATGCTCGTATATATGTTTATTTACACATATCATGTAATATTGTCTTGCATTTGCTGCATCTTCTGTGATTTTTCAGAGACGGTATTAATGTGGTAAAAAAAAAAAAAAGCTTTTGAGAATTTGTATAGTTGGGAGTATTTTTCTTTCACATATTTAGGTAATAGCTTAGCTGAATATAAAACTATAAAAATCTAGATTCAAATTTCTTCCTTTAACCCTTTGAAAATACTAATTTGTTGCCTTCTTAAATCCAATGTTAATGCTTTGAGGGAGATGACATTCCTTTCCCATTCCCTTTGGAAACACATTCTTTCTCACTGGAAGCTTTTAGCATTTTTGTCTTTGATACTCTTAAATTTCATATCCACAAATGTGACTAGGTGTTTTTTTTTTTTCTTATGCATCATATCCTGAACACTGTGAACCCTTTTCATTGTGTGCTCTTTAATTTTTCTTTGATGACAGGCAGTTCTCAGCCATTATTTCTTCAAAGATCCCATTCTGTATTCTTCTCCTTCAGGGACTCCTGTTTTATACAGGTTGACACATCTAGCCTCTTCATTGCCTTGCTTTGCCTCTTTTGTTTTATTTGCATTTCTTATTTCCATGTTTTGTTTTGTTTGTTTGCATTTTCCACTTCTTTATCCTTTTCTGATGTCTTCTGGGAGCGTTCTTTGAACTGATCTTTCCAGTCACTGTTTTGTTTTTCAGCAACACACATTCTACTATTTAACCTATCTGTTCAAGCACAAGATAGAGGTTAAGAGTATTGCTGTGTATGAGTTTCTTCAGTTTCCTAGTCTATAGAATCGTGATAACAGTACCAACTCAGTAGAGTTGTTTTAGAAAACTAAGTGAAACAATCCATGTAAAGTGCTTAGAATAATGCTAAGTATGTGGTGAGGGCCGCTTTTCTCTTTTTTTAACATGTTTATTTTTCATACCCACTATTTCAAATTGATTCTTGTTTGTAACTGCTTCTCCTTGATTCACGTTACTGATAAAAATGGTTTTTTAAGGATATTTGTTATGTCTTTTACTATGCAGCATTCTTATTTCCTAGCCATTAATTCTGGCTTGTTTCTTACAGGTGTCTCATATAGTTTGTTACTTATAATTTTTAGGGGCTCCATTCTCTCCACATATCTAGTTGTTGTGTTCTGTGAATACGTATTTCCCTGGGAAGGTATCTGCTTCCCTGTATGTGTGTTTAGCGGTTGAGGGAGTAGAGGATGGACGGGGAGAGCTAAAGCCTGTTCATCTTAGCCAGGGTTTAGGGAAGGCAGGTGAGGAGCTAGGCAGAGAACCTCTGCCTTTACTATCTGTCCTTGGCTGCAACCCTTTCCCCACTTCAACCAGGCAGCCCTGCACCTTTGAGAAACTCTTCATTCATTGGTCCTGTGGCTGTCACTAAATTGATGCTGCTGTTTTCCCCTCCTTGTGCTGGCCAAGAAAGCCCTGACCTCTAGAGGGCAGTGTGGAGGCAGCAACATAGTTGCACAAGTAAGCAGTCCTTCCCCAAACTGGCTGTAGGTCCAGGCTGTCTCAGGCTCTTTGTTGATGGCTGCCTCCGCACTGGGACCTGCTGCCTGCTCTCTCGCCAGGGATTTCTCACAGGTTTTGTGTCCCATTCTCAAATTTGCCACCCTGCCCCTCTACTTTCACAGCATCTGGGTTGAGAGAGGGATTCCAGGTGCATTGTCAGTTCTCCATTTTTTTCATGACTAGAAGTTTATAGTTTTTTATGTTTATGAACTAAGTTTATATGCTAACCTTATATTAGTATTCTCATCTATCAGGTTGGTTTTTAAAACTGAAAACAATTTCAGATGTTTAGGAAGCTCCTGACTTATATGTATGTGAGTCCAGTTAGCTTTGTATCAGAAGGTTAACTTAATAAGGACCTTTATTATAAGAAAATTTTTATTCGTAAGGCAACCCACATTATTATGCTTTGGATAAACATTATAGGAAGGCTCTTCTGTAGTATAAGGTATTCATACTGCATCGACAGGTTATCTCTCTGTAAATATATTCAGATATCCTTGGCATCTTTCTACTTGTATGAAGAGATTTAGTTAACTAAATTGTTTTTATCTTTCTAAATCGTTAGTCCTCTTAGAGCCAATTTGTATTTCACTGAGACATTTTATGAGGATTTTAGTATATGCTGTACAGTGTATATAGTTTATACCTTAACATTGTAACTAGAAATTGTGGTAGAATATATAAAGAATGTATCATGTAAAGCAATTTGTTTTTATCATTAAAAAAGATCAAATGAATGGGAATTTCTGGATGAAAGCCTTTAAAATTTCATCTTTTGTACTTATCCTTGTTGTAATATTTCCTGTTTCTGTATTTATTGAAGATGCACAGTAGTCAAAAAGGCTTACTTCCAGAGCCAAATCCTGTACAAATTATGAAAAGTTTAAACAACCCTGCCCTGTTACAAGTCCTTCTACAACCCCAGCTCTGTGGGCGAGCTGTTAAACCAGGTAAGCGCCATGGACACTGATTAAATATAAAAGTCACCTTGTGCGTTTTACATGAAAAACACATTTAAATTTGTCCAAAAATATTTTTCTAGGATTTGTCAATGAATTTTAATTGACGGTGTGAGGTGATACTATGTTTTGACTGTTTTGATACAACCTGCTTATGTGTTTTCTGATTTGTTTTACCTTTAATAAATATTAAATATTAAAACCAGTTTAGCTTCTAATTGCAGGAATTTAAAGACCAGGTAATTAACATGCTACATTGTTATGAGCTGTATCAACAGAGGATATGAGACTTTTCTAAATAATGTGTTTAGAATTGCTTTGTTCAAAAATGCTACTGTTATATTTCCTTTTTGCTCTTACTGTTTTTGTTGAAAACTAGTTTTACTTTGTAGAAAATGACAAAAGCATTGTGGAAACCTTTATAACATTGTTATATATTAAATATCTATTTAGTATTCCTCCTTTAATAAGAACTTACCTTTTGAAGTGCACAACTGTATGTACATAAAATGTATTCTTTAGCATTATGGAGTGAATTCAGTACTAAAGTTTAGCCCAAAAATGTTTAAATACATTATGTTTGTTTCAACCCCAACTGGTCTCACACCAACTAATGGACTGCGGTTCAGTTCTGGCACTAACTGCCGAGGGTTCGCACAGACCCCAGAAGTTAAGAGCTTAGTCACCAACAGGTCTGCCTCTCCTTTACACACCAGTTGTAAGTTCAGGGGGTCCTCAAGCCATTTGTACTTCTGACAAGCTGGCTACAAACTTGGGGCTTCCGAGGACCACCTCAGGTTTGATGATTTGCTAGAACACTTCATAGAACTTAGGAAAGCACTATACTTATGATTACAGTTTTATTATAAAGGCTACAACTCAGAAACAACCAAAAGAAAATCCTCTTATACCTAGGCCTAGGAGGGCCCTGACTGCAGAGCTTTTATGATCTTTTCCTGTGGAGTCAGAGCACATTACCCTCCCAGCACATCAGTGTGTTCACCGGCTAGAGATCTCTACTGAAGGAACTCTGGCATCCAGAGTTTTTATTGGAGTTTCCTCATGAAGGCATGAAGAGCGTTACCGAACTCAGTCTCCAGTTTCCCTCCTCTCTCTGGAGATCCAGAGGTCCCACTGATATCACATGACCCAGAGCCCCAACCCCCTAAATCACATAGTTGGTGTTTTTGACAAGATCAGTCCCCACGTAAGGGCCCACCCTGAGTCACCTCATTAGCATAACAAAAATACTTGTAGCACTCAGAAGATACTAAGGATATAGTTTTCCTTCTAGGAACCAAGGACAAAAACTAGTTAAATTTTTTATTGTACAGCAATATTCAGAGTAATAAATATGTCCCATAATCATCAATTATTTGTGTGTAGGCAACTTTAGAGGTTTTTCTGAGTTAGCCTGTTATATAATCAGATATCTCTTCTACAATTTTAATGGTATAGAAGTAGTTTTTTTCATGTCTTGATAACTTAAAGCATGAGAAGCTCATTATTTCCCAAGGCAACATATTCCCTAATTTGACAGATTTAATTACTAGAAGTTTTGTTTTTTTAAATATTAGTAATCCTTGTAATTTTAGCCACTTATTCTAGTTCTTCCTCTGAAGAAACACAGAATAAATCTCTTCCTTCTTCCTTAAGAAAGGACTTCTAGTAGTATTTGAAAAGACAACTACCATGAAACCTTAGTCATTTTTGGTTTTCCCTGTCTTCTCTTCTCCAGGTCTGTCGTCGTCTTAAAATTTATTTATTTTTTGAATGTGCAGCTCTATCAGTAAAATAAATTTTGAGCAGAGGCCCATGTATATGTATCAGTTATGTGCCAGTTATATAAATGCATCCTTGTTGGCCTGTATATTAAGAAATGATAAAGCGTAATATTTTTATTTGAAGGTGAGAGTTAACGTGAACAAGAGTTCTAGTATTTTTTTTTCTATACCTCATTAACTTCTTTGGAGACTACTGTTTTATGTTTGGCTTTCCATAACATGTCCCAAGCTTCCCCAGCTAGTTGCTCTCTCATAGATAATAGTCTAGATTTTCTGGGTTGTCCAGAACAAGGTGTACATGGACATGAACATACCCTGTAAATGGGTTTTGGTCAGCACAGAATATGCTGGGATTTGCCTCCTGTGATCATTCTGCTCCTCTTAATGTAGCCCAAGATTGTATTAGTGTTTGAAGGAAGTATATCATGTTCTTGGGTCTTTTAGAAAGTATTGTCCATACCTTTGGACTCTGGGCTCTCTTTAGTAAGTCCTCTTCAATATTAGTTTTTGTCTCTTCTTTTCATCTAAAAATATAATTCTCTACTCTGCTTTTCTACTCAGATTGATGTACGGCCAAGAAATAAGTTATGCTTATTTTAGGGCTAGTTTCACAGTTTTGAAATAGAATGTTTCAATATTACACTGATGGAGAAATTCTTTCACCAAACTTGCTTTTTTCCTTTGTGTGGAGTGGCAAGGGAAGAGGATTAATTTACGTCACTTGAACATGTGCAAACCTTCTGGAGGATGTATGGAAAGTTTCATGGTGGTTAGGAAAGATGAAGTGTCTTGTTAATCATAAGTTCCACTTGTATTTCCTTTACTGTGTCCTTTAGTATATCTTAACTCTATCCCTTACTGTATTTTCAGCTCTTCACAGAGGGCTCTGAGCAAACTAAGAATTATAATTCCTTATAATTATGTTTATATTAAGTAGTATATATATTTATATTTATACCCTTGCTCTTCTTCCTTCTCATTGTTTCATTTCTCAAATAACTCACACATATTTTCTTGGTTTTAGCTTGTGTCTCCCACTAAAATGTAAGTTCCGTAACTGCAAAGATTTATGTCTTACTCATCTCATGCACCTAAAACAGAACTGTTATTTATAATGAAAGGAACTTAAATATTTATTTACAGATCAGTCCCCTTCCTCTGTATCTTTGTTCCACAACCTGTACATACCTTCTTACTCACAAATGGCCTGGCCTATAAATGCCCAGCTACTCTTGTCTGCCTCTTCTGTCTCATCTGCACACTTCCGTTAGCTTAATTTTCCTCCCAGACCCAATTTATGTTCTGTTACTCTGACCATACTGACCTTTTGTCTTCAACCCAGACCTTTTAACCCATTTTGGAAATACAATGTAAATATTTGAGACTTCTTTCTCTATATATGGGTGTGTCCCTTTTAAATTTTAACTAGTATGCAATCACTTATAGTCTAACTTGTATTTTTAACAGCTTTATTGAGGTATAATTGCATATTAATCTACACATATTTAGACTATAAAAATGTATAAGTTGACATATGTATAAAACCATTGTATACATAATTTTTGATATAAGTGTACACCCATATGTATATCACCATGATCAAAATAATGAACATATTTATAACTCTCAAAAATTTCCTTTTGCAATCTCCTTCTCCTCCATCCCTAAGAAACTGCTGATTTGATCTCTGTCACTATAGTTTGTATTTTCCAGAAGTTGATATAAATGGAATCACACAGAAATTTATATAAACAGAATTAAATAAAATTATTTTTTTGAGACTCATTCATGTTGTTTCATGTATCAGTTTTTTTTCTTTTTAATGGAGCAGTATTCCATTCCATGAATGGAATAGATTTGCGTATCTATTGAGTTGTTGATGAACATTTAGGTTACTTCTAGTTTGGGATCATTACAAATAAAATTTCTGTGAACATCTGTATGTTAGTCTTTCTGTAGACTTTTATTTCTCTCCGCTAAATATGTAGCTGTGGAATGGCTGAGACATGTGGTAGATATAGGTTTAAGTTATAAGGAACTCTCCCATCTGTTTTCCTTTGTGGTTAAACCTCTTTGCATTCTCACCCATTAATTATGTAGGGCCCCAGTTTGCTTAATACTCTCACCACACTTGATGTGTTCCTCCTCTAATTTTAGCCTTTCTGTGGAGTATCTCACAGTGATTTTGACTATTCCTTTTGACTAATGATTTTGAACATCTTTTAATATGCTAATTAGTCATCTTCATATCTTTTTGTCATATCATTTTAAATTTTTTGCGCATTTTAAAATTGGGTTGTCTTTCTTATTAAGTTGTAAGTATTCTTTATTCTAGATACAAGTCCACTGTTGTATGTATGGGTTTGCAGACATTTTCTTTCACTTTGTAAGTTTTCCTTTATTTTCTTAACAGTGTCCTTTGAAAAGCAAAATTTATGATTTTGGCAAAGTCCAATTTATTTTTCTGTTATAATTTGTACATCTTTTGTCATATTTAAGAAATCCTTTAAAAATCTTTGCCAAATTTTAGGTCATTAAGAGGCTCTCTTATATTTTCTTTGAGAAATTTTATAATTTTATCCTTTATATGTAGATCTGTGGTTCATGTTGTTTTGTTTATGGTGTGAAGTAAAGTTACAAGTAAATTTTTTTTTACCGTTGTTCCACCATCATTTAAAAAGGTTATCCTTTCTCCATTGAATTGCTTGACGCCTTTTTCGAAGATGAGTTCACTATGTATGTATGGTTCTGTCTCTGGATTCTCCATTCTATTCCATTCATCATCTAAATATTTGTCTTTATCCCAATACTTCATTGTCTTGATAAACACAGCTTTATAACAAACCTAGAAATCAGTTAGTGTAAATCCTTATATTTGTTTTGCCTATTCTCTCTCCTTTGTATTAATATATAAATTTTGGAACCAGACAGTTTCCATGACAAAATGGCAGTAATTTAATTGGGATTATGTGGAGTCTATATTAATTTGGGCAGTATTGATAACAGTTTTCAGGTTGAGCCATACATATGGTACATTTCCTCAATTAAGGTCTTATTAATTTTTCTCAGCAATAGTTTGTAATTTTCAAGGTACAAATCTTACACATATTTTGTCAGAGTAATTTATAGTATTTTATGTTTCTTGATACTATTTTAAATAGAGTTGCTTTTTAAATTTCAATTTCGAATTTATTTCTAGCATATGGAAGTACACTTGATTTTGTATATATTATATCTTGCAACCTAGCTTATTATTTCTTGTTGGTTTTGTTCCTAAAATTTTCTATATACACAATCATGTAATCTACAAATAAACACAGTTTTACTTCTTCCTTTCCAATATGTGTACATTTACCTCTTTTTCTTGCTTTATTGCAATAGACAGAAATCACAGCATAATTTGTGCATTGAACTGGTAAGAATGGATATATTTGCATTGTTTCTGATCTTGAGGAGAGAACACTCATCCTTTTATTGTTATATTAGCTATAGTTTTTAACAGATGTTCTTTCTCAAGCTGAGAACTTTGCCTTCTATTTCTATATTGCAGAGAAATTTCATCATGATAATTGTTGGAATGTATCCAGTGCTTGTCTCCATTAATTGAGATGATCATAGTGTTGTTTTTGTTTGCTCTGCTAGCATGATGAATTACATTAATTTTTGAATGTTAAACCAAACTTTTATAACTAGGGTAAACCTCATTTGGTCATGATCTGTTATAGTCCTTTGTACTTATTGTTGATTGATAGTGTTGTTCAAGACTTCTTGAGGAGCACAGGACGGGACACAATGGGAGAAGTTAAGGATAAGGGCTGTTATATGTGAGACTATAGACATTTCCAGAGTGTTTTGATTCTGGTAGTGTTTGTTTTAAACTGGAGAATATTGTATTCATTAAAAGCTGTGAAAAACTAATTTTTAATGTTTTATAACAAAATACAGTGGCTAACAGAAAAAAAGAAAGGTGGTGTTGAAATCTCTAACCATAAGTGTGGGTTTGTCTACTTTTTGGTTCTAGAAATTTCTATATTTTGAAGTTATTTGAGGCACATTTAAGATTGTTGGATCCTACTGATGACCCCTTTATTGTTATGAAATGACCATTTTTATCACTGTTTCCTAATAATCTGCCAACCAGGCGCCCCCAAAGAAAACACTTTTGAGCAATTTTAAAGATGGACTAGTTTGGCAAGTAATAAAAACTTGTACTTTTGAAAACATGGGATAAACTTGTAGACATGTTATATATGAATTTCAAATGTGTTTGATTAGATTAATTGCTTTTTTTAAGCACTTATTTTCTCTTTTTTTTAAAAGTAAGACAATACAATTCTTTATTTTTTTTAAAGTAAGCTCTCAATCCAATGTTGGGCTTAAACTCATGGCCCACTCACGAGTCGCATGTTCTACCATCGGTGCCAACCAGGCTCCCTAAGATGAAATACATTTTGAAGCACTCTCTGTGCCTGACCATTTCTAGTTGTGCTGTAATAATTACATGAAATTACTTCACATATTTTCTATCTCATAGTTTTGTCTATATATTATTTATTTTGAAAACATCTCTTTTAATAAATAGTCTGGTATTTGTACTCAGGCAAACTTGATAAAAAGTGTGGCTACCACTTATCCCTTTTATCAACTATGTACAGTATTGTTTTTTTTTTGTTTGAGTTTTTTTTTTAAATTTCTGAGAGAGAGAGAGAGACCGTGTGAACAGGGGAGGGTCAGAGAGAGAGGGAGACACAGAATCCAAAAGAGTCTCCAGGCTCTGAACTAGCTGTCAGCACAGAGCTCGATGCAGGGCTCAAACCCACAAACTGTGATATCATGACCTGAGCCGAAGTCAGATGCTTAACCGACTGAGCCATCCAGGCACCTCTGTTTCTTTTGTTTTTATTATATAAATATTTTTATGTACATATATTCTCTTCTTAAGTGGGTTGGAAGCTTTTCAGAGGAAAAGACTGTATATTCTTGGTTTTCCCGCCCACCCCACTCCCTGCCAACACACCCCAAATATCTAACAAAAATATGGAGCAAATGACAAGGGTTCAGTTAGTATTATACTTACTACCCCATGGATTTAGTGTTGTTGCCCTTAACACTAGAGAAGAGAAAGGCTAGGCTTGGTGTTTTATTATCTTAACAGAAGGTGTTGGATTTGAAATCAAATTCTAGTTTTGAATCACAGGAAAGGGAGCTTATTACTTCGTGTATGACAAGGTCAGTATGTAATTGACCTTAAAATAAACTTGTTAAAAATTTTAAAAATATATTTATTTGCCCTTTTTTGAGTTTGTCTTATTTTTTAATCCCATATATATTATGAAGTTAAACATTGACTTTTATTTCTTTAAAGCAGTTCTTGGAACACCTCACAGCTTGCCACATCTGATGAGTCCATCCATCTCCCCTGCATTTTTACATCTGAATAAAGCACATCAGGTATATACATGGCATCCAGTACCGAAGTATCAAACATTTGGAGTGACTCATTTGCTTGCTATTAGCATTTAAAATTCTTGAGAAGTTAAATGAGTATTTTATCCTTAAAAAAAAAAATCCTTAGTAATAACTGTAGCCAGTGAGGACATCAGATCAAATTAAGCTGATCAAGGAAGTATTGTTCTATCTGCTTATTGATTTCTGTTTTTATAGGGCAATAAGGCAGGAGGTGTATTTTGTGGCATTTTTTTTTTTCTAGAAATGAGTAGTCAAAACCAGTCCTTTGTGGTCTTAACTCAAAGTATTCACAGAAAGCAAAAAATGAATGAATGGGAACTCTTAATTTTTAAAGTTTATATAAAAATAATTCATATAATAAAAATATTTTTCTTACCTTTTTCAGATAAGTATTTTAAATGAATTTGTATACATAAATATAATATTGGAGATAAATAGTACTCACTAATTTCTGGTACTGCTTAAGGCTGTGTCTATATAGAAGCCTAATTACAAAACCACCCTAATATATACTAGGTGATTAATGTAGATTAATGAATGAATGTCTAGTTCTGAACCAAGCTTTTCAAGAAAAAGATTTCTCTTTTACTTTCCATTTTTGGAATCTAACATAGGACCTTGTACATTAGAGGGTCTTTACTCATTCACTTAGTCAACATATTGAGAATCTAACATGTACTAGACACTCTGCTGGTCATTGAGGCTATAGCTTTGAACATAACATTCATAGTCCTTTCTTCTTGAAGAATTTCAACAAATATAGAAAACAAATGTTAATTAATTATAATAAGCTGCGAAGAGTGACATGAGAGGAGAGTTCAGACTGTTGACAGTAGTCTCTTTATTTTGGAATTAAGACCAGAATAGTTGGTCCGAGGGTTGTGGGTTATCGTTAAGCTGGAATTAAGACCAGAATGCTTAATTTTGCCCAGAAGGCCTGTCCAAGCTGGCCTCTGCTGCCTCTCCTGTTCGTTGGGAATCACAGTCCCAGCAACAGTGGCCTGCTTTTGGTCCTCAAAGGACTTTGCTCTCTTCTCCGTCGGTCTTTGCTCCCACTGTTCCTTCTGCCTGCAGTGCTCCCCATCTCAATACCACCTAAGTCCCCCAGACTTCACCTAGTTCTTTCTCCACAACCTTCAAATCTCTGTGCCAGTGTTAGTTCCTCAGGGACAATTTCCTTGAATTCATCAACCTAAATCAAATCCCCACCTATTCTCATAGCTCCTGTATTTTTCTTTCATACTCATCACCATTTGTAATGATACGTTTTTAATGTTAATTAATGTCTCACTCCCCCAGGAGCCTCTAAGATCTGTGAGGGGAGATCATACGTATTTTGTATTTCTCACTATGTAGTACTGTGCCTGGGCACATAGAAAGTGCTCAGTAAATATGTGTTGGATGATTAAATGAATAAATAAATGATTGAATGACACTGACATAAAGCCTAAAAGGGGTGAGGGGAGGAAGAAGGATGACAGAAAGAGGAGAGGATGTAGAGTTAGTTTCATGACCACATGGTCACATCTTGTATTATTAAAAGAATTAGTTAGCATTGCCTGAAGTAGTAAAGTAGAATATTAAGAAGCTGTTGCTTTTGCTCAGATCAACTGGAGAATTGAACTTTAAAATGAATTGGGTTCTGTGAAAAGTAGCTTTTCAAAATTAAACTAACCTGATGCTTTATCATTTTCACAGAGCACAGTTACGGGTAATGCTTCTAATTTATTCCTTCAGAATCTGTCTCATGTACCATTGGCACAGCAACAATTAATGAAGTTTGAGAATATTCCTACTAATAATGTAAGTATGGGCATTTTTTTCTTTTGAATTGAGTTCATTCCTTTTCTGTATTCAGGCTGTTGGTCAGATTGTTTATGAATGTTCACATGGGTAGCCTTTTCATTTGGTGATATACTGCTGCCATGAGCAGAAGTCTTACTTTCTTTTCTTCTTTTGCAGAAGCCGGGCTTACTTGGAGATCCCCCAGCCATGGTACTTCAAACCGCAGTAGGGATGGGGTCAGCACTTACTTTGAAAACGGAGTTGGGTCATCATGGAGAAGCACATAAAAGTAAATGACCTGCATTTTCAGAGAAGTCCAGAAACAGTCAGATTTGAGATTTAAAGATGGTTTACCTGTATTCTACTTTTATTTACAGAAAGGTTGAGTTTGAGTTTTAGTCAGTCATTTAAAATTTTAAGAGCCCTCGTGGCTTTTCTATTTTTAATATTAGAAAACTATTGGTAAGGTATTGATGGACTTGCTTCCATGCCAAGATCACATTTCCCCTGTTGGATGTGCTTTAATATTTGATGAAGGTTCACAGCAGCATGAAGCAAAGACATAGATCCCTTTGAGGGTGACGTGCTGCCCACTGGGCTGACAGCATATTATATAGGTATCCGTTTAATTTTTGCCTGAATGAGAAACTCTTAGCTTTTAAAGAAATACGTGGTATTTTGGTAAACTTTGATTATTTATTTGTATTATTTTTTAAATGTGATCACCAAAATAGTAGTAGAAGAAAAATAGCAACCCATGTACTCTGTGCTCTGAAGAGATGACAAATTTAAACAAAGCAATTATTTTTTAGAAAAACAAGGGCATGTGGGATACCAGGATTTCTTATTGGAATGCGATTTGGAAGGAACTTTCACTTTGAGGTGTAATTGAAATTTGTTTGAAGTGATTATGCTGGGAAAAGAGAAGAGCCACCAGTAATTAAAGAACAAAACAAAACTTGCAGTTAAATATAGGGTAGCATATTTTGTCTCTACATAAAGCCAACAAGTCAAATGATCAAATAAGTGCATCAATTCTGACTATTGGAATTAACTGGGTGAAGGTTAAACTAGTATACAGACAAGTGTAGAAATTTTTATGGTATGATGGGCCCTGTCCAAAAAATTAAATTTTGTATCAACAAAAGTTTATGCACATGTTTATTATTTATGTTAGGTTAAATAATAAGCCGTTTGCTTTCACATACACTGCTTTAAGAACATTTAAAATTCAAAATGTCCAAATAAATACATTCCTAGAAGAACTGAAGTATCTACCTCTAAATATTTAGTATTAGAAGTAATTTAAGGAATTCGTTCAGTGAATTTATAAAATATAAATTTGACTTAACATAGTTATCAAAATTAGCTCTTTTCTTCTACTTGTGAGCCATAGATTTTTAAAAAGTGGAATCATTAAAAATTTTTCTATTAAAATTTTAATTTCTTCCAGAATTTCTTGGTATTTCCTTTACATAAAAATGTAAAGCTTTCGTGTGTTAAATTGGTGTCTATCTATTCACAAATGTTAATGTTTTCTAAACCGGTGTTGTGCTGATTTTTAAAAACCAGCTCTCTAGATCTAAAAAAAAAAAATCTTGATTTTCATAGCATTTGTGGAGGTCTGTGTGTAAACACTACAAGTCATGACCAATTGCACACTACCCACGTGAAGACACTGAATTCAGGAGCTGGGAAAAGATACCCTCAGTCAGCTCTTATGAACTGGTGCAAGTTGGCTGATCAAATTTATTGTTGGATTTAATGTAACTTTATTTTTAAGTGTCAGACAATTTTTTAAACTGAAGACTTAATTATTCCCTTCAAATATGGAAGCAGGCCAATTACAGAGGTTGCACATGCAAACAAAGCCACCTGATGTAACTTAAGTGCCAAAAAGTACACACGTTTTGCTCTCATACTTTACAATATACAGTTAAAACTTAGAATTAAAAAAATATCCTTGAGGTTATCCTGAAAGTTGTTGAAAATAAGAAAAGCACAATTACTGTTATAGGGATTTTCCCCCAAATAGGAACCTGCTATTTAATAACCACTAACTTCACCTTTTAAATTTAACTCTTCTCTCATGAGCACAAAATAGGTTTTTCGACGTTTTGCCCATATCTTAACAAAAATCCAAAGGACTGTTGTGAAGAACTCTTGTCTAACCAAACCTTTTTGCATTTGTGGTTCACTGCAGCGTCTAATCTGATTCCAACTCAGACAACTGTAACAGCTGGAATGGGCATGTTACCATTCTTTCCCAATCAGCACATTGCTGGGCAAGCCGGGCCAGGGCATGGGAATTCTCAGGAGAAACAGCCAGCCTCGGTGGGGAAGGCAGAAGGAACTTTCTCAGGGTCACAGGCTTATCTTCAGAGCTTTCCAAACCTTACTGCAGGAGGCTTGCTGATCGGACACCATAAGCAACAGCAAAGTCAGCCCAGAAGCTCGGAGATAAGTTCAGGGGTAAGCAAATTGTGTTTGTGCATACACACGTGCACGCGAGCACACACACACACATACACGTGTATACTACATGTATGTAAATACTCCGCAGGAATATATATGTATATTCCTTTAAAAATATACTTTAAATTATTCTAATTCTGGAGAATTCTAACGTGGGGCTTATTTTGCATGTAATGTAATTTATGAAGTATAAATTATCTTAAGTATTTTTAAATTCCAAAGAAAGTTAATAATGAGTATAAATATGGATTAGAAACTAGATAGTTCATGTATCAGTGCAATGATGACTTTTTCATAGTGTGCATTTACTTCTCAAAACAGAAGAAAATATAGCACTCTCAAAACAATGCTGTTATTATAAGCAAACAAAAACCCATCTTTTGGTAAGTTATGTCAGCTGTTATTTGTGACTATGCTTAATTACTTACCAGTTTGTCTATAAGATAATTTCAATTTGAGTAAAATGAGCTTATGTCTGTAAAATAACTTAAATATGGATTCTTTACTCATAGATATTTGCTTTCTAAAATTTAATATTTCAGTTAGAATTGAAAATTCTAATATTCACAAATGCTTGATATTTTAGAAATAAAATATAAACTGAGTTCAAAAGTTATAGTTTGGAAAAGCTTAAGAGTATCATTAATATTTATCTAATGATATATAATTTATGAGGCTTTCTAATTAAATAATAATGATTTTCAAAATGTTTATTTTTTCTACTCTAAATGTATACTCCATAGCTAATTAGGTATTAGTTTAATATTTAAAGGCAAAACCAATTTTATTTTGTCTGAAAAATGTTGCAGTTATTCACATCTAGTCTGCTCAAAAGAATCTAATCTCTGTTTTAATTCAGGAAGTTTTTACTCAATTATTTTATTGGTCCTTAGACCAGTGACATTTGTAAATGTCACTTGGTAGGTAGAATAAAGTACATTTAACTTTTATTCATACCCTGAAATACCTTATGGTTTGTAAGTAGTATAAAACTCAGGTGATAAGCAGCATGTGAGGAAAAAATTCATGTAGTTGACTGTCTTCAAATGTCAAAATAATTAGATTGATTTGGAGGCGGTTTTATTGTCAGCTAGTCATAGCAGCAGGTATGGATGGGATGCCCTACAACTGTTTATTGAGAAAGCTAAGGCAGTACTTGTAGAAGGAATTTTATAAATTTATCTGCAGTATTAATTTCTTGGGTTCTTGAGGGAAATTAAACAATTAGAACGCATACACGAATATGCTATTATCTTTTTGCACAGAAAGCGCCAGTTCTTTAGAAAAGCTTGATTTGAGGTGATTTGCGTAATGGGCAGAGTCTTTTCAGGAGGAAAACAGCTGAAGTGGTGCAGGGCCAGGAAAACAGGTTCTGTGAAAAAACTGAGGGAAATGGAGACCTGTAACCCTGACAGGGAAGACAAGCTGGATATCCATTTAAAATATATATTCTCAAACTAGTCACATGGTATTTTGTGTTTTACCAGTAGGCAGAACTAATGCAGTAAGTATGACCTACAATAAAGCAGATTTGGGCTTAATATAACAAAGAACAATTGAAGCTTTCAAACAAAGAAAAAGCTTGACTATTTCACAAAGACGTGACTGTCCTGTCACTGAACACAATTAAGTAGACACGAAGTGAGCATTGGTATAGATTGCTGTAGAAGTGATCCCTCTTTCTGACAGTAGAAGTTTGGACCAGGTAACTTCAAAGTATGTTTTCCAAGAATGTAGCAAGATTTTTGATTTTTGTTAAACATATTTGGTTTAACTCGACTTTAGATTTTTAGACTTTAATTTTTAAGAAATATTTTTATTAAGGTATAATTGACCAATATAATTGCAGCATTATATTAGTTTCAGATATACAACATAATGATTTGATACATCTTACATATTACAAAATGATCTGTAAATCTAGGTAACATCCATTACCATATATACATATATTATAATTTTTTTGTGTATGATAGGAACTTTTAAGATCTGTTCTCTTAGCAACTTTCAGATATGCAATGTGATATTATTTACTATAGTCACCATGCTGTATATCACATCCCCACGACTTATTTATTTCATAACTAGAAGTTTGTACCTTTTAATTTTTTTCACTCATTTTGCCCACCTCTGCCTCTGATAAACACCAATCTGTTTTCTATACCTATGAGCTTGTTTTTTCATTTTTTAAAAAATTCTACATGTAAGTAAGATCATACGGTATTCGTTTTTCTGAGTTTTTTCATTTAACATAATACCCTCAAGGTCCATCCTTGTTATCACAAACAGCAAGATTTCTTTCCTATTTAAGACTGAATACATACGCACGTTTTCTTTATTCATCCATCAAAGAGCACTTCTGTTGTTTTCACATCTTGTCTGTTGGGGATACTGCTGCAGTGAACATGGGCATGCAGATGACTCTTGAGATAGTGATTTCATGTTCTGTGAATATATACCCAGGAATGGGATGGCTGGATCATACAGTAATTGTTTATTTTTTTAGGAACTTCCATACTGTTTCCCATTGTGGTTGTTTGTTTCCTCCCATTCAGTAGATTGTATTTTCATTTTGTTGATGTTTTCCTTTGCTGTACAGAAGCTTTGTTTGATGTATTTCCACTCATTTATTTTTACTTTTGTTGCCTTTGCTTTTGGTGTTGTATCCAAAAAATCATTGCCAAAACTAATGTCAAAGAGCTTTTTTCCCTATATTTTCTCCTAGGGGATTTATGCCTTCTGATCCTGTATTTAAGTCTTTAATCCACTTTTAGGGAATTTTTGTGTGTGGTATAAGATCAGGGTTCCAGTCTCATTCTTTAGCATATGGACATCCAATTTCCCCACCACCATTTATTAAAGAGATGTCCTTTTTTCCATTGTGAATTTTTGGCTCCCTTGTCAAAGATTGATTGACCACATGTGTGAGTTTATTTTTGAGTTATCCTAACTATGGTGTACAATCTCTTTAATGCATTGTTGAATTTGGGTTGCTAGTATTTTGTTGAGTTTTACATCTGTGTTCATCAGGGATATTGGTATGTAATTTTATTTTCTTGCAGTGTTCTTGCTTTGGTATGAAGGTAATGCTGGCCTCGTTAAATAAATTAGGTAAGTGTTTCCTCCTCTTGAACATTTTGCAAGAGTTTCAGAAGAAATGGCATTAATTTTTCTTTAACTGTCTGGTAGAATTCACCAGTGACACCATCTAGTTCTTATGTTTTCATTGTTGGGAGGTTTTTTATTTGATTACTCCTTACTTCATTATTGGTCTATAAGATTTTCTATTTTTATTATGATGTGGTCTTGATAGGGTATAGTTTTCTGGGAATTTCTTTGTAGGTTATCTAATTTGTTGGCATATATTTCTTGGTAATAGTTTCTTACAATCCCTTGTATTTCTGTGGTATCAGTTTTAATGTCTCCTCTTTCATTTGTAACTGTTGGAGTCCTCTCTTTGTCTCTTGGTTAGTCTAGTCATGGTCTATCTGTTGTGTTTAATCTCTTTAAGATGCCAACACTTAGTTTCATGGATCTGTCTTTCTCGTCTGTATTTCATTTATTTCTGCTCTAATTGTTACTATTTTCTTCTTTATGCTAATTTTGGGCTTAGTTTGCTTTTTCTAGTTTCTTGATATGTAATGTTAGGTTGTTTGAAACCTTTTTTCTTCATGTATGCATTACTATAAACTTTCTTCTTGGAACTGCTTTTGCTGTCCATAAGTTTTGATATACTTCCATTTTCGTTGCTGTCAGGATACTTTCTGACTTCTCTTTTGATTTCTTCTTTGACATATTGGTTGTTCAGGAGTATGCTGTATATGAATTTTCCAGTTTCCCTCCTGTGTTTGATTTCTATTTCATACCACTGCAGTCAGAATAATACCTGGTATGATTTCAGTATTCTTAAATTTGTGCAGACTTACTTTGTGGCTCAACATATGATCCTTCCATCATGTTCTCTCCCTCTTTCCCTCCTTTTCTTTCTTCTTTCCTTCCTTCATTTCTCTTTCTCTCCTTTCTTTCTTTTCTTTTTTTTTTGCTTCTGCTTTTGGTGCCAGACCAAAAAAATCATTGGCAAAATGAATATCATGAAGCTTTCCACCTAAGCTTTAAAGAGTTCTATAATTTTAGCTCTTAATTTTGGTCTTTGATCTTTGAGTTAATTTTTGTATGTGGTGTAGGGTGAGGATCCACTTTATTCTTTTACATGTGATACCCAGATTTCCCAGCACTTTTGTTGAAAAGACTGTTCTTTCTCCCATTGAATATTGTCAAAAATCATTTAACCATATACACACGGACTTATTTCTGGGCTTTCTATTCTATTCCATTTGTCTGTGTGTCTGTCTTTATGCCAGTACTATACTGTTGAGAGTACTGTAGCTTTGTAGTAAGTTTGAAATCACAAAGTATGAGTTTCTATTCTTGTTATTATATTTCACCTTTTTCAACATTATTTTTACTGTTTTGGGGGTCCATTGAAATTCTGTATGAATTTCAGGATAGATTTTTCTTTTTCTACAAAGAAAAGTTGGAATTTTGATAGAGATTGTATTGAATCTGGAGATCACGCTGGTTAATATTGATATTTTAACAACATTATGTCTTCAAATCCATGAACATAGAATGCCTTTCCATTTATTTATGTCATTTATTTCAGCAATATTTTTTGAATTTTTAATATTTAACCCAGCATATTCAAAATACTATTACCAAATGTAATATATACTAAGCTCTTAAGATACTTTGCATTCTTTCTTTGGTACTCTTTGAGATTTAGTATATATTTTAAATTTCACAAACATCTCAGTTTAAACTATCCACATTTTGTATGTAGTCACGTGTAGCTAGTGGCTGCCATGTCAGACAGTGCAGTCTTAGATGTTTTCATGGCTTAATCTCTCACTTTGTCAATAAAGTTTTGGCTTTAATCACTTTATTAGAGAAATAAGGGTTTCTGCTTAAATATCACTTGCAGCCATGTTGTGTAGTTTTTAGTGGACAAATATTTTTCCTTCTTAGTTTGGTTAATTCTTAAGTATTTATTCTTTTTGATTATGTTGTAAGTGAAATTGTTAATTTTCTTTTTGGATTGTTCATTATTAGTGTGTAGAAATGTAATTGATTTTTGTAGGTTGATTTTATATCCTGAAAATTTGCTGAATTCATTTGCTCTAATAGTGTGTGTGTGTGTGTGTGTGTGTGTGTACACACTACTTAGAGTTTTCAAGTCATCTGCAAGCAGAGACGACTTTAATTCTGCCGCTCTAGTTTGGATGCCTTTTCTTTTCTGTGCCTAATTCCTCTGGCTAAAACTTCTAATACTCTGTTGAACAGAAGTGGTGAAAGCAGACACCTTTGTCTTATTTTTGATGTTACAGGGAAATATTTCAGTGTTTGACCATTGAGTGTAATGTTGCCTTTTCATATATAACTTTTGTTGTATTAAGGCAATTTCTCTCTATTCCTAATGTGTTGATCATGTTGAATTTTATTCATGAAAGTGTTAAATTTTGTTAGATGCTTTTTCTGTATCAGTTGAGGTGATCATGTGGTTTTTTTCTCCATTCTGTTAATGTAGTGTATTACACTGAATGATTTTTGTATGTTGAATCATCCTTGCATTCTAGGAATAAATCCCAGTTGGTTATGGCATATAACCCTTTTAAAAATCCACTAAATTTGGCTTGTTAGTGTTTTGTTGGTGATTTTAGCACAAATAGTTATAAGAGATATTCGATATTGGTCTGTAATTTTGTTTCTTTTTTGTAGTGACTATCTGGCCGCGGTACTAGGGCAATGCTGGTCTCATAGAATGAGTTAAGAAGTATTCTTTCTTTATCAGTTTTGTGGAAGAGTTTGAGAAGAATTGGTTTTAATTCCTCCTTAAATGTCTTATCGAATTATCCAGTGAAGCCATTTGGTCCAGGGCTTTTCTTTGTTGGCAGACTCTGTACTTTTTAAAATTTTATAATTGATTCTCTTTCATAGCTAGAGTTGAGAACCCCTGATAGGATGGAATCTGATTACCTTGGCAATGTAAGTACTTTAGAAACAATATCTGAGAGTGCTTTGCTGGCTACCTTTACTCAGTTACTGAATTCTTTCTAAAGCATTGTCTTTCCTCATGCTATATGCTGTCCTTTGGTAAATAACTAATGGTTTTAGCTCCCTCCTAGAATCTTATGGTTCCATCTGGGACTGCTTTTGAGCTGTTGTATCTACTTGACTGTGGGTTTCTTACGGGTAGTGTTCCTGTCTTACTCATTTTGGTATTTATCATCAGTGCCCACCACAGTGCCTGAAGCATAGTAACATTCAGTAAACACGTATGAATGGATGAATACATCTACATCTGGGATTTACATATCACAAGCAAATCTGGACTACTTTGGGACTTATGAAGAGATGCAAGATAGGTTTCTCAATCCAAATACACTAATATTGGCCAGGCAAAGAACAAATAAAAGGAGCTCTGGCTCTCAAATATAGAAATAAGCACCTGAAACTATATTTTTTTCATTCTTCTTAGAGAACAAAATAAAAATTGATTTGGAAATGAAAACTTAGCTGATAGCTTTAACTTTAATTATAGTAATCTGAATTGTCTTCTTTAAAAATTTTTACCAACTGCGAACAAAAAGTAAAAATTTCTGTTGGAAGAAAATGAAATGATCTGAAGAATCAACCCTTTTCTTTTAAAGAAATACTAGAACCCTTATACCTAGTTACATAAAATTATATTGATAGCATATCTTGTCAAGAAATGTGAATTTCTAGGGTTATCATCTAAATGTGTATTTGGATCTTGTTAAATCCACTTATCTTAGAACCAAAGATAAACAACCTTTCCTTTATCATTTGGCTGAATATAAAATAAAAATCTTAATAAGAAAATGTGGATAACAAAATTTCTGGAAAAGAGGTATGGGATTTGTTTTTTCTTATGAAGATGAATTCCCTCCTAATTCAAATGAGAAGGATTTACATGAAGGCCTTTAATTTTCTTTCAGTTCTGAAGATTTATGGTTCTAGAGGAGTTAAAAAAAAAAAACTAATAGCAAGTGGAATGTGATATTTTTAATCAATATCCAGAAATATCCCATAACTAAATATGTTCAAATGTTAGGTTCCACAGATTTTTATTACACTAGATTGAATTTACTGAAGAATAAACATTACCTTTTCTGCATTTTTATTTTCTTGTACCTCTTATTAAGCACTTACTCTTTTGTTTTTGACAAATAGGCTGCTTCTAAGCATCAGACATCACTGTTAGGAGAACCACCAAAAGAAATACGGCTCAGTAAAAATCCATACTTGAACTTGGCAAGTGTGTTGCCCAGTGTGTGCTTATCAGGTAAGTGAGAGCTCAGTATTAATATTTTGTAGTTGTACTGAATATTTTCCATAACGAGTTTTATTTTTGTAATTTAATGGGAGCAAATAATGCTCATTGACGAATTAAAGCCTAAAATATGACCAGCCTTTAAATTGAAAGAGTAACAAAAATTAAGATACTTAAAGTGCATTCTAATTATTTAAGGAAAATGTCTTTTGTAATGTTTTATTAAGAATATAATTAATGTATTGAATTTTTGAATCATAAAAAATAATTGAGCAAAGGAATTATTGACAATACTCTTAAGGCTTTGCAATACATATGGAACCATATTTTTATATCTATGTAATCTAATATACTTAGAGTATATACTATATACTATCTAAGTAATCTAATATATCCAGAATATTTGCAAACTACCCCAGAATATCTAAGCTAATGATAATTGGCATAGGTTGAACTCTTATTTACTTTTTTAGAGACCTTCTCAGGCCTTCAGTTGGGATAAATTAATTGTAATTATAAGGAAAAATCACAAATGTGGTATGATCTAGGTACTAGGATATTCACTACAATGTTGGCTGTCAGTTGGTGTAACAGAAAAGTCCCTTAATGTTCATCAATAGTGGAATGGTTAAATAAAAAAGTAGTTAATCATAAAATAGAATATAATACAATTTTTTTTTTTGGTAATTGAGGGAGAGCTACATGTACTAATATGAAATTATCTCTAAAGCAAATTAAGTGGAAAAAGCCAATATATGCATAAAGAGATTCCATTTGTGTTTATAGCTGCATATTCTTATGTGTGCATATTTAATGTATAAATGCATACAGTAAATTTTGGAAAATAAATTCTAAACTGTTACCCCTGGAAAAAAAGAGTAGGATTGAATGAAAAGAGATTAAAGATTTTAACATACATTCTTTGTATTTTATAAAGTATCTTCTTGAATCTAGACATTGATTTGTAATTTTTTTTAAAGAGCCAGAAAAAAATGTAACGTGCTTCTTTGATATCACATATTTACCACATTTAAAAATGGATGGTTACAACTATTGCGTTAACAAGAATGGTTAGTTTACATTTTATTTGCCTTCTTTTAGAGATTGGATATAGGTCCGAAAAATGTTTCCATCAAAATTATTTACCCATAGGGCAAACTTCCATTTTCAGTTGCTTTAAATGAACAAGACAACATCAATACTATATATTTTTCCCTTGGGCATAAAAAATATAGACATATACTGGCAAATGAAAGTTTGTTTTCTACTTTGGAATATTCTGTATTTTGCTTATAACTTATAATAAAACAACTTTTAGCTGAAATATTATTGATTTTGCCTTTAGCCCCTGCAAGTAAAACCACCCTACAGAAGACTGGAATTGCAGGCAACATTCTGGATGTAATCTCTCAGGGAAGTGAATCACAACACATGTTGGAAAAGTGCATTTCTTATTCTCAACCTTTTGGTGATTATGCACAGGTAAATGATTCTCAGGTTTTGATGGTATCTAGAAAAATTGGCTCAACTATATATTGAGCTCATATTCCTGTAATTGTGATTCCTATAATTGAAATTGTGATTCCTTTAATATCATAGGAAATACCATAGGAAAATAAAATTGCATTCATCTATATAGTATTCCTTGCTCGTTTGGTATTTTAGGCCATGTTCAAGAAATTAACTACCATTTTACTTGGTATTTACCTCTCAGTGTTTACTCAGTGTTTGTTGACTAGTGGTCAACAAACTATAGACCAGAGCTAGCCCCCTACCTGTTTTATACATAAAATTTGATCGGAATACAGCCACATCCATTCATTTACATATTGTCTATGGTGCTGTTGTGCTACAATGGTCAAGTTGAATAGCTACATTGGAGACTAAAGGACTCATAAGATTAAATACTTACTCTCTGGCTCTTTACAGAAACTCTGCTGACTTCTGGTTTATATCAAGGTACACCTGAGTAAGGAACCCAAGGAAATGCCTCTGTTCTTCACCCCTGCTTACTGACACAGAAACATGATCATAATTGCAGGCATTATTCTGACATTTAAACCAATCAGTCACTAACATAAAAAGTATTCTATTCAAAAGGTACATTGTCCCACTATTTAAATAAGTCAATTTTACTCTGACCTTTTCTCCTTCAGGTTATTTTCAGTGGCTTAAGCGGAGAGTATATATCATGTTAGTATAGGATTATATAATCATGAGAGTCTTATAATCAACAGTTCTGATTCTTTCTGATTTCTCAGCATATCAGCTCCTCTGCTCTGTCCTATCTGTGTGAGCAGTGCTTCCACTTTGATTTCCTTGGAGCAACTGTGTTTGCCTCACCTGTCTCTAAAACCTTAGAAAAGAAAACCTATGTGAATTCACTTGGAACTGATTTCTTGTTACGCTTTAACGACAGGATACTAGAAACACAGGTGTAATAGAGTCTGTAAAAAATGGTGCAGCAGGGTATTAGAATACTATATAATAGTCTCCAACCTATCTGTGGAAAAGATGGAGAAATATGGGTTAAAAGATGATATAAGTAGGTGGCAACAGACCTGTATCTAAGGACTAGTAGTCATGAATTAATACAACTTGGAAAGCATTCTCTTACATGTTTCATATGACTCCATTTTTGTTCCTTTATTAACATTTTTTAAAATATTTTTATTTCTAGGGGGGAGAGAGAGAGAGAGAGACAGCGTGAGCAAGGGAGGGTCAGAGAGAGAGGGAGACACAGACTCTGAAATAGGCTCCAGGCTCTGAGCTGGCAGTCAGCACAGAGCCCAAAGCGGGGCTCGAACCCACGAAACGCGAGATCATGACCTGGGCGAAAGTCGGACGCTTAACCGACTAAGCCACCCGGGCGCCCCTATTAACATTTTTAAGTAATGATTGAGATAAGGACATTAATTGTATGCCTATTATATTTACAGGTGATAGAATCCAAGGGAATTCTCAGAGATGTGTAAAATCATTTATAAATAATTTATAGTTCTGTAAATTAGAAACAGCCTAAATTTCCAATAATTTATGAGACTAAGTAAACAAATCATGTCATATTTATCCTAGATATACAATGCAAATATTAAAAATCATGTAAAATACCATGTAAACTCATGGTAAATGTTTCATAATCTCTTGTTAATTTTTAAAATTTATAAAATATAGTCCTATATAATTTTATCTTTTTTTTATAAGGAACAAAAAATACTTTTATAAACAGAAGGAAGCACATTTTTAAAAATTTAAACATGTATGATTTAACTTTTTTATTTTTCATCACTTAATTTTATCATGATATATGTACTCTTTAATCCCATCCACCATTTCCCCTACCACCTCTTCTCTGTAACCATCACTTTGAGTCTGTTTCGTGGTTTGTCTCTTTTTTCCCCCGTGCTTGTTTGTTTTGTTTCTTAAATTCCACATATGAGTGAGATCATATGGTATTTGTCTTTCTCTGATTTCTATTGCTCAGCATAGTACTCTCTAGCTCCACTTATATTGTTGCAAATGGCAAGATTTCATACTTTTTATGACTGAAGCATGTTGCTTGCATATATGTACCACATCTTTATCCATTCATCTGTCAGCGGACACTTGGGCTGCTTCCATATATTGGCTATTGTAAATAGTGCTGCAGTAAACATAGGGGTGCATGTATCCTTTTGAATTAATGTTTTTGTATTTTGGGGGTAAATGTTCAATGCTAATATTTCTGGATCCTACAGTAGTTCTATTTTTAATATTTTGAGGAATCTCAATCTTGTCTTCCAGAGTGGCTGCATCGGTTTGCATTCTCAACAGCACGAGAGGTTCCCTTTTCCTCCCCATGCTCGCCAACTCTTGTTGTTTTTTAACTTTTTTGTTTTAGCCATTCTGACAGGTATGAGGTGACATCTCATTATAGTTTTGATTTGCATTTCCCTGGTGATGAGTGATGTTGAACATCTTTTCATTTGTCTGTTGGTCATCTATGTGTCTTCTTTGGAGAAATGTCTATTCATGCCTTCTGCCCATTTTTTAAATGGATTGTTCATTTTTGGGTGTTGGGTTGTATATTTTGGATACTAACCCTTTATCAGATATGTCATTTGCAAATATCTTCTCCCATCCAGTAGATTGCCTTTTATTCTTGCTATTGATTTCCCTTGCTGTGCAGAAGCTTTTTATTTTGATGTAGTCCCAGTAGTTTATTTTTGCTTTTATTTCCCCTGCCTCAGGAGACCTCTAGGAAAGTGTTGCTATGACCAGTGGCAGAGAGAATACTGCCTATGCTCTCTTCAAGTATTTTTATGGTTTCATCCCTCACATTTAGGTCATTAATCCATTTTAGTCTATTCTTGTGTATGGTGAAAGAAAGTGGTTCAGTTTCATTCTTCCAGTTACTCCAGCACCACTGGTTGAAGAGACCATCTTTGTCACATTGGGTATTGATTCCTCCTGTTGAAGATTAAATGGCCATGTGATTGTGGGTTTATTTCTGGGCTCTCTCTCCTATTCCACTGATCTGTGTGTCTGCTTTTATTCCAGTAGTATTCTGTTTTAATTACTACCACTTTGTAATATAACTTGAAATCTGGAATTGTGACACCTCATTTTGTTTTTTCTTTCCCAAGATTGCTTTGGCTCTTTGAGGTCCTTTGTGGATCCATATAGATTTTAGGATTATTCGTTCTAGTTCTGTAAAAAATGCTGTTGGTACTTTAATAGGCACTCCATTAAATCTGTAGATGGCTTTGGGTAGTATAGACATTTTAATAATACTGATTTTTCCAATTCATGAGCATCAATGTCTTGCCATTTCTTTGTATCATCTTGAATTTCTTTCATCAGTGTTTTATAGTTTTCAGAGTATAGATCTTTCACCCTTTGGTTAAGTTTATTCCTAGATGTTTAATGTATTTATATGTGCAGTAATAAATGGGATTGTACTTTTATTTATTTTTTAATAAAGTTTGAGAGAGAGCACAAGTGGGCCAAGGGGCAGAGAGAAGAATCCCAAGCAGGTTCCACACTGTCAGCACAGAGCCCCACATGAGGCTTGATCTCATGAACCATGAGATCATGACCTGAGCTGAAACTGAGCCATCCAGGCACCTCAGAATTGTATTTTTATTATTAGTGTATAAGAATGCAACAGATTTTTGTACATTGGTTTTATATCCTCTGACTTTACTGAATTCATTTATCACTTCTAGTAGTTTTTTAGTGGAGTCCTTAGGGTTTTCTATGTATTGTATCAAGTCATCTACAAATGCTGAATTTTACTTCTTCTTTACTAATTTAGATGCCTTTTATTTCTTTAAGTTGCCTAAATGCTGTGCCTAGGACTTGCAGTACTGTGTTGAATAAAGTGGTGAGAGTGGACATCCTCATCTTGTTCCTGACCATAAGGGAAGGCTCTCAGTTTTTCCCCACAGTGTATATATAGTGTTCGCTGTGGGTTTTTCAAATACTGCTTTTATTATTTTGATAAATGTTTCCTCTAGACCTACTTTGCAGAGAGGTTTTATCATGAGTACATGTCATACTTTGTCAAATGCTTTTTCTGAATCTTTTAAAATGATTATAGAGTTTTTATCCTTTGTCTTATTGATATGATGTATCATGTTGATTGTTTTGTGAATATTGACCCATTCTTGTGTCTTGGGGGGAAAATTTCCCCTTAATTGTAGAGTATTGAGGATTTTTATTTTTACATCTATATTCACGAGAGATCTTGGCCCGTACTTCTCTTTGTCTGTGTCTGGGGTGGGGGGCAATGTCTGTATCTAGTTTTGGTATCAGGTTGATACTGGCCTCATAGAATTTAGAAGTTTTCCTTCCTCTTCTGTTTTTTGGAACAGTTTGAGAAGAGTAGGTATTAACTCTTTTTTAAAAGTTTGGTAGAATTCGCCTGTGAAGCCATCTTGTCCTGGATTTTTGGTTTGGGGAAGTTATTTCATTTCTGATTCAATTTCCTCACTGGTGATTGGTCAGTTTAAATTTTCTGTTTTTCTCTGCCCTAGTTTTGGTAGATTATATCTTTCTAGGAATTTATCTGTGTCTTCTAAGTTGTCCAGTTTGTTGGCATATAGGTTTTCATATGAGTATCCATGTGTTTTAGGATGGCTATGTCTGTTACGGATAACATGTGTTTTAGGATGGATATTCGGAGTATGTCTGTTAAATCTGTTGCTATTTCTCCTCTTTCATTGGTAATTTTGTTTATTTGGTGTTCTCTCTCTCTCTCTAAATGAATCTTGTTAAAGGTTAATCAATGTTGATCTTTTGAAAGAAACAGCTCTTGGTTTCATTGTTCTATTTTTTTGTTTGTTTCTATATCATTTATTTCTGCTCTAATTTTTATTATTTCCTTATTTTGCTGGGTTTTGGTTTTATTTGCTCTTCTTTTCCTAGCTCCTTTAGATGTAAGGTTAGGTTGTTTGTGATTTTTCTTGCTACTTGAGCTACACCTTTATTGCTGTAAACTT